CCCTATATGTAATCAGACTATTTAAATATAATTCTTTAGAAAGAGGTGGGTGATGTACTTCACTATTGCTTCTAAGAAAAACAAAGATACTTTGGTTCACTGATTTTGTGTCTGTTTTGAATGAGAACTCTGTTTCTCCATCTGTTGGGAGAGCAGTGAAATATTGCTACTCTTCTAGGCAAATTAACCCAACAAACAGTGTTCCCTTTGATGTACCCTCTGAGCTTCTGAATGATGCCCTGCATAAGATCTATACCAGTATTGATGGCAGCAGCAGTGTATCATAAAATGAGTAATAGATACATTGCTACAACTGGCAAACCAGCAAGCATTCTGGATTTCAACAAATGCTATGTGAAAGTAGGTGAAATTTAGGTATTTGTATGTTTATTTCTTCTGCGACAGACATTGTGCAGCAGTTGACAGTTGTGAAAGTCAGCTTGACCTTAGAGAACTTCAGGAATGAATCATTGAGCACACTGTTCCTCAGTGTCTCTTGCTTTCTGGAACTTATGTCCATTACCACTACTGGCAAATTCCTCTTCTGTAGCTTCATCTTCATTAGAAATTGTCACTACCAAGAAAAATTTTTGAGAATTGTATAGCAGGTAACCTGTTCTAGTCTTACTCATTATTAGTGGTAGATTTTCTGTTTATTGCTGGTTTGAGTTAGCCCAGTAAAAATGAGTAATGTCGTTGAAGGTATTGCACATCACACTATATACCAACTCCAACAGGACTTGAAAAATGCTTTCAGACTCTTTTCAGCAGCTTTACTGGCATTTACAGTATGTGCTTTACCAGTGAAAATACTGGCAAGTCAGCTAATCTTTATTTCTTTCCTGCTTGGAAAATTTCTCATTAGATCTTGCAGAAGACCATGAAAGTTTTGATGCACCTTTTAGCCTCGGGTTACCTGGTAATTTGAAAGAATGGTGTACCCAGAGTCCATATGTTCCTTTTGAGTCATTCCTGGCTTTGGCCTTTGCCTAAAGTTAATGTAATTCTCCTGCCATACAAAGGCAAACCAGCGCTTTTCTTTCTCTGCATCAAGCACTAACTCAGGGCTGCAGAAGAGATGACAGTCTTGCATAGCTGGCCTGGTTTTTGTTCACATTGAGTTGTTTTCAGTGAACATTTTTCAGATAATCTTAATAAAACCAGAGACAGAATTGCACAAAAAAAATGCCATCACAGAAGTCCACTGTCTTCATATGGCATGCAGCATTTTGTTTCTGATGAGAATTTTTTTTTAAAACATGAGACTAACAACTGCTGGCTTTTTACAGAGCAGTTTGGCTAAATAACTAGTTTTGTCACTGATGGAATTTCTATTCCTGGGAAGGCTGTACTGCAAAATTAAGTCTCAAAGAATCAATTGAGAAATTATTTTCTTCTAAAGCTTCCTCAGCACTGGAGCTGCAGTATCTCATGGCAAGAGATCAGTCTCAAATGACTGGCCGTACTGAAGCAAGGGTCCTTGATTATTGTTTCAATATGCAGTTGATAGAGCTACCTTTATGGTAGGTATGTTGGGAAAGCATCTTCATCCATACATTTTTATGGATTATTCCTAATGAAGAACACCTTCAAAAGGAGTTCTGAAACAGTCCTGAATAAGTGGTTGTAGGAATACACAGAGACAATTATTGATTCTGAGTTAAATTCTTCATTAAAAACAGTAATTATATATTGCCGATAGGAAGCAAACGTATGTTCCTGGCCTTCTTTAGACAAATTGGCCTCTTTAGGCAAAAGAAAATATCTTAACTTTTTAAGGCATTTTTTAGAAGAAATAGACAGGAGCTAAATCCTTGGAGACAAAGAGAATGTTCTTTCATTAAACATGCTTGATAATCACTGCACTAATTCAACGCTGCATTACATAATTTGTCCACCTGATGGCATCACAAAATTGAAAAATGGTAATTGCTTGTGGCAGGCAGTAGCTTGCAGCTTATGCTGCCCACCTCTTGCTGGCCTGCTGTAGTCTTCCTTGGCTGGAGGAGAAAATGGCTGCTGATCTTCTGCACAGCAGATTCTTTGAAGCTCTCACTTCATATATAATCATCCCTTGCTTTCTGACCACATCTGCTGATTGACCTTTATCATCTTCTCAGAGCATAAAAGTATCAATGACTTGCACCAAGGAAAATCCATTCAATTTAGACTAGCTCAGGCCCCACAGGTATTAAATTCTGCGTGGAAAGATGATTATGAGTTTCTGACTGTAAGCCACTAAGAGTAACTGTGGAGGAAGCATGTGTTTCTTCTGAGTCTCGTAAAACCCAAAGGAGTAACAGATAGTGCTGTTAGGTAATTGCATGCTTTAAATGGAGGCTGTTGGAGAAAGGCTTTCAGTTACAGTTGCAAGGGCCTTTAGTGCGTCATCTCTGGGAAGATGTACAATAAAAAGACATTTTAGTCTCTCTCCAGGGCTCGTGATTCTGGCTGCCACCTTCTTTAGGCAGAAGGTCTAGCAAAGTACCCCTTTGACACAACCAGGGTATGTGAGAGGTCTGACATAAGCTGGACTTCTCTCTGGCAGGCCTGAGACCACTGCAACCCTGAGGAGCAGGGGTCCAGTTTCAGCTTTATTTCTCAGAAATTCACAAGCAGTTCACTGCACCAGGAAGACTGTTAGGCTATGCCTGCCTCTTGCATGTGGAGTCACGTAATATCCTGAGGGTTTACAACTACAGTATCTTTTTTTTTTTGCTTTAAATAGCATAATATTTGATACTGCATGCTTACATGTTGCTTTTGCTGATAGAAATTTTATAGACTTGATCTGTCCTTTGTGCCACCTGGACTACAAACCCTAGTAAAACAAAGCAGGTATCTGTGCTAGCTCCTGTGCATGGATGACTCTACAGCACTGATGTCTGATACTGTTCATCATGTTCCTACTGCTTTGATTTCAGAAATCAAGCCACGGGTGTCCCACACTGATCTCTTCTTCCCAGGTTTGGATTCAGATCATTTTTACCTGTTCATAAATATGCCCTTGATTCTTATTAGCATTGCAGAAGCAAAGACACTGCATGGAGATGCTGTAGAAATACTTAGCAAAACCTATTTAGCTTACAGCTAAATAAGAGTTTTATTACAGGACCCTGAGGAGAGTTACTTTTCTTTTTTACTCTGAGGAACTGTCTTATGTCCCCCATCAGTATTTGTGCTTACAAGTACTATCTGCTATCTGAAGACCAAGCATAAAGGCTCCCAGTAGTATTCCTTTTTTACCAGTCCTTTCCAGATTAGAGATGTCGTATGAAGTCCCTTGATCTGCCCAGTCTTTAAGTGACTTTCCAGCCATCAGATCTGCTTTCTGGGACAAACCTGAGGTTTCCTCTTGTGATGAAATGAAAGCCACTATTTAAGTCCTAAATAAAGGACTGTGGATAAAGAGCACTTCTGGGTTAAAAACATACATTTAGGGGAGAAACAAAGGATTCCAGAATAAAGGAACATTATCCTGACTAAATCCTGCAATACTGGCAGATACAAACTATATATTCACTGTCAATGTGAAAACATTATTTTTATGAACTCTGATTAAAAGGGGAGCTACTTACACAGTGAGTGTTCATCTTTTTGTGTTCTCTAAAAGGCTTAATTAAAAAGCCTGAGCTCTGAAGACCATTGTTTCAGGAAATCAGTATCTTAACTCATCCTGGAAACTCATTTTCTGTTTCTCTTAAACATTGCTCCATCTTGGAGGAAGAGCTAGAGTCAGGACATGTTCTTTGGGCAACCGTGGTTGCAGTGCTGCCATTATTCCTGCTCTTCAGCATCCTGTGTATGATTTCCTTCTGCTGATGCACTGGCACTTTCCTAACTCAGACAACAGGAAGAAAGAGGGGAGCTGGATGCAATATGCCCCCTTTGAAGGAAGTGTGCTCCTGTGGCAGAGCTCATAAGAGAGGCTAGGGCAATGAAACTGTGTACCAGAGAGCTTCTTGGCATAAGGTTTTAAGGTTCTCATTAGAGGGGGCTCACCCATCATCCTGCTTTGGTGGCAGTCCTGGGTGCTTCTGGGAACAGCACTGCAGCAGTCAGTGCAGTAACATTGCTACACAGTTAGTTAACAGTCTGGATGTGGCTATGATGACAAAAGGGTCTTTTTAAAAATGTTGGAATGTTAAGGGGATACATCCTGAATTTCTGATCTTGTTCCTCCACGGTCTTTACTGAGGCAAGCTGCCCTTAAGAGCTTAGGAACAGCCTGAGTTTGGACAGATCAGAGATCTCCTAGCAGGCACCACGGTTTGTACTTCTGAAGAGGATGGAGAGGTTTTTGGCATCTGAAACGTAACTAACTTCTCTCAATTAAAATCCTTTCTAGGTATCGCCATAGCAACCTCTGTCTGTAATGAGCCTCATGTATTTGTGTGGCTGCTTGATTCACCCCTTGCTGACACAGAAGCATGAACTCTCCCTTGTTATTCATTTGCTCCCCAACTCATGCTGTGTGAACTGTCCTCTTGGTTAGTCCTAAAGTGAATAGAGGGACTCCTGCTGTCAGGGAAGAATTGAAGTCAGGGTATATTTCCCACTCTCTCATATAAATGCCTGGGTCAGGACCCTGGCTGGAATGCATCTGGCTAGCAGAGTCAATTGGGCACTGAGTACTAAACAATGCTGGAGGAAAACTTCAGTACTGAAGCTTATAGAAAGAGCCATATGAATGTGGCAGCTGGGACTGTGGAATAAGACAACTGGGGAAGTCAAGGCACTCTGTGTAGCTGAGAAAAGGAAGGAGAGAATTACTTCTTTGAAATTGAAATCTTGCTTTTTTGAAGTCTGAAAATGGACTTGAAAAATTGTAATTGTCAGAGCAAACAGAAAGCTAAAGAGAAATGTCAGACACTAGTTCTAGACCCAGATCACTATGCCATGCAAGCCCTAATGCAGTGAGCTTAGGAGGAAAAGAGGTAGACTGCATTCCCAGTCTATGTATAAAGGGGTGAAAATCTGTAGTCTTCCAGATGTGGATGCTTTGTTCTATAACTCCATTTTTCTACCCGCAGGCCAGCCACTGGGACCCCGCAGGCTCAGCCTGAAGCCAGTTCCAAAACTGCCCAACATGGAAGCATTTCTCAGTGAGGCTTTTGCGAAGGTGAAGAAACAGGCCCATGGGTGCCTAGCTCCAGAGCTGTGCTTCCAGGCAGTCAAAGCCACGACAGAGCAGCCCTTCGCAGTTGGAGTCCAGAAGGAGCGAGAGCTGTTTAATGTCCTGCTGACTTCAGGCCAGGCCCAAGCACTGCAATACGCTTTCTTCGCAGAGAGAGCCGTGCAGAAGTGGACAACACCCAGTGGAGCTTCATGGAAAAGTGCTTCCCCTCAGCCCATCCACAAAGCAGCTGTGATAGGTAAGGGAATGAAAAAGTTGTTGTGATTGCTGACCGCGCAGCTAACAGCAGAGCTGAACGGGAGTGGAATGAGTATAATCAGGCTTTACTCATGGCAGAAGGCTGAAGTGGGATTCTCTAGCAGTCACTCAAATTCACTGGTACCCATCACAGGCAAAGATACTCCACACCCCTAGGTGACATGCAAGGAGGGAAGTTGTCATTGCATTGGTAAGCTCAGAAATTCAGATGGCACTAGATTGTTACCTGATGCCACCTCTTTCTTTGGAAGAATAACTTCCTCTCACTTCAGAGACAGCTTCATCTATGGACCATAAGCAGTCTGTTCCCTTTTACATGCTGCTATGTTGAGTCCTGGCTTTGTTCCATATTATAAGCAGGTTTGCATGAAATTCTCCTCCTCCTGGTCTAGTTCTGTACTGCAAGTGCATGTGCACAGAGTCACTCACGGATATATTAATACAAAAACGTTTTGACAGATGTATTTTAAGAAGATTTCATCTCACTAGGATCCACTCCTGCCATTTTGTAGCCCAGCAAGAGAATGCCTTCATTAATTTTTTATAAGAGCAATTTAAATAAAACCATCGATGAACTGCTGAGATTTTAAAAAAAACAGCTTTGCCTGTTGATAGTAGCACTCAAAAACCAGTTAGACAAGTAATGGAGCACTTGGAAAACATCCATTCTGTTTCAGAGGAAGCTCACCAGATCAACACTGGTCTTTCCTGGGTACTTCTCAGGCCTCTTGTACCCTGCAATATGAGCTCTCTGAAAGCTCATTTCAGGCCATAGAAACGCTTTTTTTTTTTTTGGAAGTTCCCTTCATTAGCTGCCATGCCATACTTGTAATGAAAATGGTTTTTAAACATTGGTCCACAAACCTTGTGAGGAGGATCCGTGGGTGTTACAGTATTCAGATAAAGAGGCATGAATTATTGCCAGATTTATCATGTGACTTGAAGAGCACGGTACTTTGGACACACGCAATCCCAGACAGGTCAGTCCTACAACTTTGGTCAGTCCTTCCTTTGGCAGGAAGGGCTTGTCTTGAAGTTTTGTAGGAATGATCAGGTGACTAGAATGGGCATTCTTTGCTACATACTGATAAGTCATGCCAGAATAATACATTTGCAAAGTCCCAATCGCAGTGACAGTTTAGCCAGAAGGGCTGTTTAGATCTGATCTGCTTATTTTGGTGCTGTAACTGAGCTAGAGGGAATTCTAAGGACAAGTGCAATCTCTGTTTGAAAGTTTCTAGTAGAAATATGATCTCTATCTTATTTCCAAGCTGAACTGGCTGGGCTACATCTCCCATCCATTGGATTAAGTACTTGCATCTCATCTCCAGACAGGTTTCTGAATTCTCGTCTGAAATTGCCCCAACTTCTAGCCCCAAGTTTCAGTGTTTTTGTAACTGGTTACAGACAACACACAAGTTAACCCATACTTTTTGCAGAATAAATAAACTAAGTGCTTTGATACATCTGCTGCAGAGCACAATCTGTCACGCTTTGGTCATTTTCATGTCTCTGAACTTGCCCTAATTTTTCAACACTTCATAAAGCATGCATAGCTGAAGTGGGAACAGTATTCCAGGAGTAATTACACTAAGACCAGGTACCAAGATGTTTCTTCCTTGCTCCTACTTAGTATGCTCAAGGTAACAGCCAACTTTCATATTAGCCATGTTCAACACATCTTATTAACTATCTACTGGCAGGGAGCAGCTGCGCCCCAGGGATGGGGAGCCAATGGCAATAACACCTCCCGGGGGACAGAACCACAGAATCTCTGAGGCTGGAAGGGACCTCTGAATGTCATCTTGCGTAACTCCCCTGCTCAAACAGGGCCACCTAGAGCCAGATGCCCAGGACCATGTCCAGATGGCTTTTGAATATCTCCAAGGATGAAGACTCTACAACCTCTCTGGGCAACCTGTACCAGTGCTCAGTCACCCCCACAGTAAAAAAAGTGTTTTCTTATGTTCAGATGGAACCTCCCATGTTTCAGTTTGTGCCCGTTGCCTCTGGTCCTGTCACTGGAGGCCACTGAAAAGAGTCTGGCTCCATCTTCTTTACACTTTCCCTTCAGGTATTTATATACATTGGTGAGATCCCCCAAGCCTTCTCTAGGCTGGAGTCACAGCTCTCTCAGCCTTTCCTCATGAGACACGCTCCAGTCCCTAAATCGTCTTAGTGGCCCTTCACTGAACTCACTCCAATAGCCCCATATCACTCTTATACTGGAGAGCCCAGAACTGGACACAGTACTCCAGGTATGGTCTCACCAGTGCTAAGTAGAGGGGAAGGATCACCTCCCTCAACCTGCCAGCAAGACTCCTCCTAATGCAGCCCAGTGTACCATTTGCCTTCTTTGCCACAAGGTCATATTGCTGCTCATAGTCAACTTTGTGTCCGCCAGGACCCCCAGATCCTTTTCTGCAGAGCTGCTTTCCAGCCAGTCAGCCCCCAGCGTATACTGGTGCGTAGGACTATTCCTCCCCAGATGCAGGGCTTTGCACTTCCCCTTGCTGAACTTCATGAAGTTCCTATCAACCCATTTCACCCTCTGGATGGCAGCACAACCCACTGCTGTATCAATTATTTACAGTACCTGAGGAAGGCAAGCAGGGCAGACCATGGCCAGGATCTACTAGAAGTTCAGATGATCAAGCAAAGTTCACATGATTATGCAGGTCCAGAGGTAAAGTTGGGAAGCCAGTCTGCAGGCTGAGGTCTGGATCAGCCGTGTCCATAGCCTGGCACAGCCATAGTAAGACACCAGAACTCCTCCAGCATAGGTTAGGAAGGGACTGAAGGCCCAGGTCTGAGCTTAAATGGGGCTCTGAGGGCCATGGGCAGTGCGTGTGGGTGGAGGCTCCAGGTGTAGCTGGTCAGGGTCATTAAAGCTTATCAGTGCACTCAGGGCCTTGACACTTACCAAGACTCTAATGCCTTTTCTGAATCACTGCTTCTATCAATACAGCCCCCATAGCTCACAATTATAGCTTGCTTTGTTTATGCTAGTTGTTCATATTATACTTCATGTGATAAGTGACATCTCCTATTTTGGAAGTTATTGATCACCTCCTTTTAACTCTGAATCCCACTCCATATTAATTGTCACTGCTTTCCATCACTTCTTTCTGTCACCCCGCTGTGCTTTTGCTCCTTCCTCTGGAAGATTTTCTTCTTATTTTGCCTTTTGATATCAGTGAAATTGCAAGTCCGTTAGAGACAGGCATAGAACATGCCAACACAATTGTATTTTTTCTTTCAGGCTGCTGTAACAAAAAGTCATTCTCCAGCCAGTACGATGCTGTACAGTATCTCATAATTTCACATTCTTGATCTTAAGTGCATTCTTGCAGCACCAGAAATCAAAATCTTAGGGATGATTTTTGAGGGACTGACACCTTTTAAAATAGTGCCGCTCATCCATTTAAGTATTGAGTCTACGTAGGTGATCCAGGGTCTCTCTACTTTCATTGCAGAGAGGAGGGCAGTCAGAGCAAGATGTTGCATCCATTTTGGATGGTCAGAAATCATGCAGACCCCATTTTCCAGTAGACAGTGCTGTGCTGTTTCATACACTAAAACCATGTTGCATTATGCTGCTGCTTCTGTCTTTTATCGCTGCACGATGGGAAGCAACTGAGAAGATCACGTTGACTTCCTCCTCCTTCAGTACCTTTTCCGTAAGCACAGAGGACCTTTAGGGTACGGAAACAGTGCCATGAATGCTAGGGGAGCCTTGCTTTGTGGCTCCCCTGTCTGTCCAATATTAGCAGGAATTTGTTGGAGGGAGCTGACACATCACTTGCTGACCATGTCTTAATGTAGATTCAACATCAAGGATGATGTATCATTTTTGTGGGCATGCTTGATAGATAGCATTGCTGATGAACTGGCAACCATTCCTGTGCAGTGCGGGCTTCCTATCAGCTGCCTTTGTCTGCAGTTTGCTCGCTGAAAGACTGAGAAGTGGGTAACACCCAGCTATGTGGGATCCCTCCTGCTCTTGGCCTGCTGTCCTTGACTGTCTTCAGCCACGTGCAATGTCACCTATTTAATTTGCTTCTGCTTGTTCTGAACTCTTGGCTCCCATCTCTTTCCACTTTCTCTGATTTCTCGTCACCCAGAAAAGGAGTTCTCTGTCCTTTCTGCAGTCTTCCCACAGCTCCCTGCTTGCCTTGAGTATCATGTTATTTCTGCTTGAAATTAATACCCTGAAACAGAGAAAGAAGCAGCTCCAGTCTGCAGCAGTCCGCCACTCCCAATTGTCATTGTTGTTTTTAACAGGAAAACTGGAACGGTCTTTGCATAGTTTTACTAATCTATAAAGTATTATTTCCATTGCCCAGCATTTTAAAGTTTAAATATTCATTATAGTTCAGAATATTTTCCACTGATCTGTATTTCTCTAGTGTGTGTGACTGTACATGAGTTGCTTTTTACATATTTCGAGTTCATTTGTTTTGAAATTTGTTTTTAAAGTCCTTCAATTGATTTTGCATGATTTTTCATATTCTAGGTACCTCATGTGACAGATCAATAATTAACAATCATTATTCACTCAGCTTGCCCAGCAAATGGATTTGTCATATCCATATTTGGCTTGAAATTACATGGGTTCAAGTGTAGTTTTATTTATATGTCAAAGCTACATTTCACAACAAAATACCAGAGGCAAGATGGCTAGACACTGTTCTTTTTCCTGAAGCAGATTTCAGTCATCTTTTGAAAGATGTGCCTTGGGCATGAAAGGTGGTAACATAGCTCTGAAACCTGTCCCCTGCATGCAAGATAAGAGTATAGGGTTTTTTCATGGTTTGGGGGAAGTGAGAGCACTACTGAGGAAGAAAATGAAACATAGAGTAGAAATTCTGGAGTAGTTCCTAGCCGTGTTTTTGTCTGTGTGATCTGAGCCAAGCATGCGACATTTCCCTTCCTCTTTCTTCTACAGCCTTCTACACATGTAAGGCCCAATGGTTCCCCACCATTTTTTTCTGCTCTAATATATTCTTCCCCAAGATCACTCAGCTTTATGAAATTGAGAAGAGGAGCCGTCAGAAATGCTTCTTTCCCTGCTAGATAGCCAAATCTCTCCTTAGTTTTATAGCCCAATTTTAGAAAATATTTCCAGGGGAGTCATGCTGTGCAAGCTCTAATGTAACAAAACCCTTGGGGCTTTCATTACTCTCTCTGCCAGCTTCATTAAACATCATTTCATACAGGCCACTGAAGAGTTATGTAGTAAGTTGAGAGACAGCTTTTCCAGGTCAGAAACAAGCTTGGCAAGCTCATATCTTATCTATAAGCCTATTCCCGTGGCCTAGAAAGGGAAGTACTACAAGCATGTATGCCTGTCTACCATGGGATGGCTAAAACCTAGATGGGAGTACTCATACTACATGTGGACGAAGGCAAACAGGGGAATCAGCTAACACCACTGCAGAACTTCCCTTGAAAAGAAAGCTGGAGAACCTCTGGTTATGGAAGAGGTTTTGATTTAGGAAGAAGCAGCGTGTTCATATTGCAAGAGAACTGCTAAGATTTCAGTCACGAGACTGAAGCTGAGAGGAACAGGAGTTAATAAGGCCCAGGATGTGTGCATTATTTCTTTAGTAGAGCTTGGAAATTCTAGGGAGAAATCCCAGGTCTTAACCCTGGAAAGGAAGAAGAGACTTCAAGAGGGAGCCGTAAGAACTCAGATGTAGAATGACAAACCCTTGATGTCTAAAGAGAGCCTTAAAGATGGGGCCAGGCTTGGTGGGTATGCATGAGGTGGTGAGTTACCTTCCCACACTGTCCGAGAAGAAAGCAGTCCGTGTAGCTCACCAAAGACAGGGAAAGAACTGTCTCTGACTGTCCCTGCTACCACATCCAAGCCTCTGAGTACTGAGCAAAGTGGGAGGAGCTATTTGTGTTTGGGGTTATTTCAGTCAGCAAACCATGGACACTGAAATGCTAAGAACTGATTCATGTTAGTCTAGTTTTATTTTCAAATTAGTTTTTAGTAATACTTGATTATGAAGTAGCAAATCTAATTTCCTAGAAAGGAACTTCAGCATTTGCTTGGGAGTGTAATGGTTTATAAGCAGGCTGCCAGATAGTGATGTCTGTAAAAACTATCTTCTTGTGGCTAAGCAGGGAATGTTTTAAATGTCTTGTGTGTACACAAGCTGAGGGTGGACAGAACTAAACCATGGCTGTGTAGCCTGCAGGAAAAACATACTACCTTGTTTGACCTTGATTGTTGGAACTTGTTTAACTGATGACATAATTTCAGCTCTTCTTTACAAAGCTGCTTTAGACAAATTTTTTAATCCCCTTGTTTCTGTTTATTTGTTTAGCTGGCTTTCATTTGTAAACCTGGGATTAAAAAAATCATTTTTACAGAATTATAACAAAACTGTACTTTGTCTGGTTGTTGCTTTATTTAGGATATTAATAATCCTCCCATTCAGATGCTTCGCACTTTTAAAGCTGGTAAAATTGCCCTGGCCTTCTCTTACTAGTTTGTATTAACTTAGTCCGAAAAGCCTCCATCATGGGAGAGCAGGATAAATAGTGTGGGTTGTGTATCACAGGAAAGTGTAAGCTTCATTTAATGTAATAGAGGGCAGAGCTGGTGGAAGGGCTCAGAAAGAGGGAAGGGATCAAGCCAGTAATCTCTACGCTCGTATTCCTGGGGGTATGAGCTGGTAGTAGCGCATTTATGGATCTTGGAGAAAAAAAATACAGCTTGAATGGATGCTCAGTTACAGGAATTCTGGGCAAGCGCTTTAACTGCATGGTTGGACAAGGAAGACTGTGTCTTCGAGAATCTTCAGAAGTTAGGAATGGCCTGTGTTGGAGGACTTGGAGAGTTCGCAGTGGGCAGAGATGCCTGATACAAAGTGCAAACAGCAAGCAAAACGCTACTGATGTTCCAGAGTGATTAAAAAGGAGATAGGAGATGTTGCAATCTGGATTAAGAACACTATGTTAGTCCCATCCTATTTGACTTGGTCACAAGAGACATACAAGACATTAAAGACAAAGTTTAGAGAAGATCGGTGTCCACGATCAGCTGAATTTTGTTTGCTTCAAAGATTACACAGTGAAGTGCAGAGGGAGAAGAGGAAGGGGACGAAGAGGAAGCTTGGAAGGAGGGAGAAATCAGTTGTCTGAGTTTTGCTGGTGTTAATATCTCTGGGTGCGGTGTGTTCGCTTACACTAATATTCTTCTGTGAGTGCCCATAAAGGACCACCTCACAGGAGCAGAGAGGCACTGATATTCTCAGGGTGAAGCTTATGAAACTGCCTGCTAGAAATTGTTAATAGGGTTGAAGTTGAAACTCAGATCTCCTGTCTCTGATCCTCAGGTTCTAACACCTAAGTGATTCTGGTTTCCATCTAGGTATAAAACTTTGCAGGGAGAAGACATGAATCACATGGTCCGCACACACTGGAGTGAATCCCAGTGATATTTTGTAAGCTTGAGAGGACATTAACTTGCCTTTATGCTACTGCTTTTCAAACATTTAGGCTCACTGAAAGGGAGAATTCCCCTTCCTTTTTCCCAGTCTTCAATTCTTTTTTTCTATCTGTGCACCACTCGTTTTGCATAGGCTTTTGCTTTTTATCCTGGAGATACAAAGGAATTGCTACTGTCAAGTGATTAATTGTAACATTTTCTATTCATAGTCTCTGATCTGTCTCATTTTTATCCCTAGGGCTGGGAACAATGGGCCGAGGCATTGTGACTTCTCTGGTTAAGGCCAACATAGCTGTGGTAGCCCTCGAGCAGAATCTGGAGTATCTGAACACGGGAAGAAAAGCAGTGATGCTCCTTTTGGAACGCGAGGCTATGAAAATGGAGCAGGGTGCTCAAACCCTGGATTTCCATAACCCTGCACGTCTCCAGTTCACTGTGGACTTTGATGTGTTGCGGGACGTAGATCTAGTTATTGAGGCTGTGTTTGAGAACATGGCACTAAAGAAGGAAATATTCCACAAGCTATCAAGAATCTGCAAGCCAGGGGCCTTTCTGTGTACAAACACATCAGCCCTGAATATTGATGAAATAGCTTCTGCCACGAGCCGCCCACAGCAGGTCATTGGCACGCACTTCTTCTCCCCTGCTCATGTGATGAGGCTATTAGAAATAATCTATGGCCATCACACATCCCCCACCGCCATTGCCACTGCTATGCAGCTAGCCAAAGCACTGAAAAAAGTTGGAGTGGTGGTAGGGAATTGTTTTGGGTTTGTTGGGAACCGAATGATGTTTCCATACGTTCAACAGGCAGTTTTCCTTTTAGAGGAAGGAAGCAGACCAGAAGCCGTAGATCAGGTTCTTGAAGATTTTGGGTTTAAGATAGGACCTTTCCGAATGTCTGATCTTGCTGGGCTGGATGTGGGCTGGAGGTCTCGAAAGGGCCAGGGCCTCACCGGGGCCTCACTACCTCCAGGAACACCTGCTCGCCAGCGGCATGGCCATCGCTACAGCCCGCTGCCAGACCTTCTGTGTGAGAATGGCAGGTTTGGCCAGAAAACTGGAAAAGGCTGGTATCAGTACGAGAAGGCTGGGGGCCGGACGGCCAAGCCAGATCCATGGCTTCACAACTTCCTGGCCCAGTACAGAGACACCCATCACATCAAGACCCGCTTTATAGACCAGGAGGAAATCCTGGAGCGGTGTTTGTTTCCCCTCATCAATGAAGGGTTTGACATCCTGGCTGAGGGAATAGCATCTGGCCCAGAACACCTGGATGTAATTTATATCAATGGCTATGGGTGGCCAAAGCACAGGGGTGGCCCCATGTTCTATGCTTCCACTGTCGGGCTCCCTCGTGTTCTGGATAAACTGCAGAAATACTCTGAGGCCCACCCTGATGTTCCCGGGCTACGGCCCAGTGCCTTTCTGAAAAAGCTGGTAGCTATGGGGAACCCTGCCCTCAAAGAGTGGATGTCCTACCTAAGCCGGCAGAGCAACAAGCTGTGATTTCGTTGATGCCTGCTATATAAATTCAATGGAGGCAGATCTCATGAAACAGGTGCTGTAATTGCACTGTCTTTTCCAATCAAAACCAAAGTGCTACAGGCTCATAAACAATGTTACTGACCTTCCTGGGCCTTTGCAGAGAATAACTTTGGCCGATGATTGATCTCAATCTCCCTCTTGCTGCAGGTAACCACAGCCATCACCCACCCTTCCCAGCACCAGCCTTACCCGCCTGCTTTGCACATTGCTGTTTAAAGGCCCATCTCATTTTGCTCTACCTTCAGGTTTTCACAGCTGTACGTCTCTTCCATCGTGCAGTACGGTACATCTTCTCATCCAGTCTGTCTTTGTGGAAGGGAGGGAGCAGCATCCACAGCCCATGAAGCAAATCAGGGTAGGAGGCAAGAGAGAGATGGTCACTATTCTACCAGATCCTGCCCTAAGTCTATTTCCCAGTTTGTTCAGGTCTTTCCGTGCAGCCCACCTCCAGATTCCTTGGCTCTCCCAAAGGCAGCCAGCTGGAGCCTGCTCCCTTCCCGCTGCTGGGGGAGAGATGGCACAAGGGGTGCAGCACCTTTCAGAGGTAAAGTCAAATGAATTGGAGAGAGCAGGTTTGGGCAGAGAGAAAGGGGCAGGGCTGGTACCGTCCCTCCTCCCTGCTGCAGAGGAAATTCTAATAAATGACAGAAAAGCCACAAACGCATTGACCTGACTAACCTGCCCTGTGCTCTTGGCTCACGACTGGCCTTCTGCATCCAGACTCCATCCTCCATTATCATTATCCCCACCCGGCTTTGTCCAAGCAGAAACATCTTCTGGCATCTCTTAAGTGTGGATATGGGTTGCCATCTCTCCCCCTATCTTGCCTGCCTACAGCTACCAGGTCTTGGGGCTCAGCATGCTCTTAATTGACCAGATTGAAGCCTGGCCTGGCACTTGCCGGGTTTTCACATGGGCAGAGGGCACACTGAGAAGTACATGGCTCAAGAGCTGTCTAGGCAGGAGTGTTGCTGCAGGCACGCAGGGAAATGGCAGATCTCTAGCAGAGAGCAGAGAGAGAGTGAGCCAAACTTGCTCCGGGCTTGATGCTTTGGGACAAACTCTCCCATTTCTTGTGACTAGTGAATGTATCTTCCAGTCCAGTGTGGGGAATAGGTTGGTCTGGGATCCCTTCTCAGGAAGATTATCATTGGATGTCTAACTTTTGCTTTTTATTTTAATAAAAGTGCTTGGATTATCTAATGACAGATTATATGATATCATATGGAAATGTAGAAAAAGGAAAATGTGCTGCTTCTTTCTTTATACATACCTCCATTGCTTCTCTACATGGTAGAATTAGATCATTTTCCTGTTCGTGAAGGGGTTGTGTTTGAAAAGGCTGCATCCTTCTTTTTTCTAAATATATCTTATTTTGCCCTTTATTTACCCTTGTCCTTCAGTGGGTGAGGGTGCAAAACTGAGGGCAGGAAACCCTTCTGAAGTCACAAGCCAACCCAAGTGCCTGGTTCCAGGGAGGATTTTGCTCCAGGCAAAATCTAGGACCAGCAAACTGGTACGGTTTCCCCCGAATCACTTGTGTGCCACAGCTGAGAGCAATCCAGCATTTGCTCAAAGGTGAAGCGCTGCTTCCACGCGAGCAGACTCCGCGTGACGTGTTACACAACAGCACTGGCTGGTGCTGGTGGCTGTCATGTCATCCGCAGGACAGCTCTGGACACGATGCACTGCCCGGGCTAACATTCCCTCTCCTGTGCCTCGTGCCGTGGTGTTCACCCGTACTGGAGATGAGTTGGGAAAGGGCAATCCCCCTTGCAGCAGGAACAGGCTGCAGAGGAGAAGGCATGCCCTTCCTCCATAGGAGAGATGCTGGTCTCAGGATATCGAGACCCATCAGCTTCTACCCTGTGGCCACAATGCCTCTCCTCACTTGCAGCACTTTAGTGCTGGTGCATTTGATGTGCCCATTCCCCTTCTCATCTCCCCTCACTGAAATTACTGAGAACAGAGGCTGTTCACACTAGTAATGTCTCTCCTGACAGAAGTTCACTTGTAAATTCGTATTGACCAAAGCAGCACAGCATTGATCTGTCTGCTTTACATCCCAGCCAGCCTTCAGTGACATTGCTGGCGCTGAGAGGGCAGATGCGAGGCTCCCTGCAGCTGGCAGGAGTGTGTGAGGGGCTCTGCCTCTCGGCTGCTCTGCTCCCAGCAGGGCAAGAGCACGCCGAAGGGCAACCGCAGCTCCCCAACCCCCAGCCCCACAGGGCAGCGGCCCATGCTCAGCAGCCTGATTCGGAGCCCTTGGTGTCTGCTGACATGCAATCTAATCAGAAAGCACCAGCCTGTTCTGTGAGCCTCTTTGGGAAGTTGTTAAAATAACAGCCTTGCAAAGTCCCTGATGAGCTCAAATACGCAGTAATACCAGAAATATGCCCATGAGTGAAATGCTTCTTCATTTAGCAGGGAGAGAACACGGCCCCACGCAGAGGAGAACTTGATAACCACTTGGTACAGGATTAGTTTTCCCACCTGTCTTTTTAAACCAGCTAACTATTTTCACTCAGTGAGAAAATATCTGTTAAAAATGTTTTCCAGGTAAAACCATCCCTGCTGGTGAGGAACGTTCCCGGCTCTGCTCACTTGTTGCAAGTCTGACCGTTCTAAGCTATGTGAGCATGAGCTGAGGTTGTACAGTTCCCCAGGATGGTGAGGCCTTGGCGACACACATTGCAAGCTGGCTCTAGTCCATCCTTAATCTTTGGGCCCCGCTTCTACTTTCATGTGAGTGCCTGGCTGCAGCTCTACGCTTTCTGCACAGCAGGGATGCTTGCTTTCAGTGCTGAGGATATTCAGTTTCAGCCCTGCAAGTACCCGTGGTCTCTCGCACGCAGCTGCAGAATTGTTAGATGTCTTTAATTAAGTTGGTGAACTCTGCCAGTGCAGCAGATGCCTCCATTAACTGCTCAGCCACAGGCATTTTGCAAAACAGTAAAGAATGGGGGTGCACCAAAGGAGAGAATTTCTTTAGCTTTGATCAGCATCCCCTGCAGCACTGGGCCTTCAAAGGGAGGCAAAAAGCTCCCTGCCTTATGGCGTGCTAAGAAGCGCTGTCCTGCAGCGCATGTCCGAATCGGACAGGGCGCTTGAGTCTTGTTGGAAGCACCTACACCCGTTTCTGTAACCCATAGTTCACCTTCCTTCACTTTATTTCTTTTTAACAGAACGTGATCTTACAGTCCAGGCTGGGTCTGAGAGCAGCTCTAGAGGTGAAACAGCGGTGGAGAGGAAGGGCTTCGTGCCAGCAGCTAGAAGAGGCAGTTCTCCTTGGGCCGGGGGTCTCGTGGGAGCTGAGCTGCTTCCCCTGTTTGCTGCTGGTGGGCTTGAGGGAACAGGAGGACAACAGGACAGTGTCAAAGAAACACCTGATTTTGCAGTCAGTTTCTCCTCTGCTTGCAAACAGCTGAGCGAGGTCCTGAATGTTTGCAGATTTCAGTGTGATTTCAGCAAAACAGAGGCAGGTAAGCCTTGAGGAATGATTCAGAAAACTCACTTTCCAGTGCAATTAACCCTGGAGCATTTAAAATCTAACAGGCTTGTGAAGCTCCCTCAGTCCTGATAACCAATGCCAAGGAAGGCTCAAAGCCCCCTGCTCGGTGCAGCTGGGCACCCATCTCCTGCCCAGTTAGGCTGAGTTTAACGGGTCCCATCCCTGAGGCACGGTGTAAACCTGCCTGCCACCCTCAGCCAGCTCCGATTGCTTTTGTCCCAGCAATCAAAACCAGCCCCAGAAACATCCCTTCAGCCTGGTGAAAAGCTCTCCCTCGAGCCATGGGCAACCAGCCTGCCGAGAGGGAGAGGTTGTAGCCCCTGCTTGCAGGTCCCAGGAGGCGAGGGCATAAGCTGGGATGCAGCGTGTGCCCAGGGCTCGCCTGGCACTGAGATGCTGCGGGAGGGAGTGAAAGACTCGCCGGGACCATGTAAGGGCAGGAAGGGCAGCAGCAGACCAGGTATGCGCTGACTGCCCCTGTGCATTGCATTGAAAGGAGCCGGGTGTACCGCGGGTGAGCGTTCCACCCTCCCACTCTGGTGTCCGGCTCATCTGCCGAGGCAAAGCGCTCGTCCCCGCTCCTAGCAGCGAGGGAGGGTTCCGTTCAGAAGGGACCAGCAGGACCATTTTGTGCAGCCTCCATCGTAACACAGGCGAAAGGCTTCCCCCAACGACCCCCACACCATCAGGCCGGTTACACTCCATCCTCCAGCGCCTTTGCTTTGGGGTGGAAGGGTGCTGTGGGTGTGCAGGTGGGGAGTATTGCATAAATGCATATGGCAAACGGGTTTGGCAGCCTGACGAGGGGACAGGGTAGCGCACGGGGTAGGAGCTGCTTACCTGTACGTGCTGTTTTGGTGGGTCTCAGCCTTGTGCCTGGCTCAGCACCGGTGCGAGCAGTGAAACGTCCCAGGGCCAGCAGCGCTGCAGGGAGCTGGTCTGTGCTGCGAGTCAGGGACGATGGTCAGAGGTTGTTCAAAGTCTCAGTGCAACTCTCTGCTCTGCCATTATGACCCATATCCCTTGTTTTTACCCATAAAGCGCATAGCTGATCACAGTGATACACCTGCAGCTTGGCTGTTCTTAAGCTCTTTTTCTTGGCAAGAGGCAAATGATTCTCTCAGTGCATCTTCAGGAGGGTGTACAGCACGGGAACACCTCTGGAATCTATCCCAACGACAGACCCCAAAGGAGCTGTCTGGGAATATTCTGGAGAACACAGAAAAATAAGTATTTTTTGACTACTTCTGACAAAGAGCTATTGGGTATTGTACAAAGATATAAGTGACTACGAAAATGACCGGTTTGATTTCTGTTCTAACAGAAAGCTGACTTCAACTCTCTTAGTACTGAGCAGAAGGGCAATAAAAACACAATTTACTTTCAAACATGACAGCTACACCACTACACTTACGAAACCAAATAATGTAGCCGCTGCTCAAAATAAATCCAAACTTTAATTTTGGCCTAAAGATACGATTGTTGGAAAGTAACAATACACTTTCATATCATTATTAACCAAAATTATACCTACTGATTATTTTACAAAACGGAAGACAGAGTTTATCAGTGTTTTTAAAATCACTGCATGCTTAGAAAAAAATGGTTTTCCTGATTAGATGATCTGAGAATAAGT